AATTCAACCTCAGCAAGCCCTGAACCCGGAAGCCATCACAGGGGAAAAAGGGAAGTCGGACTCCTCATAGCAGGAGTCATGGCTGCAATTACCACTGGGGGCCTCGTGGGAGGAATTACTTATAATGCCCCAACAGCAAAAAACATAACCACCACCATGGCAAATATAGGTAGAGAGACAGGTGAAAATTTGAAACTTCTTTCAAAATTTTTCGACTCTCTTGCCTGCATGGTAATAGATAATCACATTGCCCTAGGCTGTTTACTGGTCAAGAAGGAGGTCTATGCATGACAGCAAATACAACTTGTTGCTTCTATGTTAACTTACCCGACCAGTTCCAGGAGAGGACACAATGAATTCAGACAATGATGCCCAGTGGCTAAAGGAATTCAGTCAGGATCACCTAGCTCAATCTATCTGGACGAGTGTAGAAGCAGCCTTGCCTAAACTGACCTGGCTACTCCCCTTTATAGGACCCCTAGTATTAGCCTTCTTAGCATTGCTTTTTGGACCCTGCCTCTTGTGCCCGATTACTAGATTCGTATAAAATGAACTGCAAATTTTAGTCAACCAAACAGTTGGACAATTTGTTCTAGCACAGGTAAAAGGACCCTATCACCCCACCACCCAAAAAGTTATCTAACAAATTCTTTTTAGGAGTTCACAACGACCCCACACCTGCATGAAGTAGACAAAGAGAAACTTCGTCCTTTTTCCCTTTTTTATCATCATTATGAGATGGGAATGAAAGAGTTAATAATGTCTTAAAGGGAAAAGGTAAAAGCTTACAGAAAGCAGAAACTGTGAAAAATTGCATTGCTTGCATGACCCTTGCTCAGCCTTCTGTTGAGTATTGATAAGGATTTTCTGGATTCTCTGCAAGGCAGTGAATCACCCAGCAGATGCAGGACAAGATACCAGACCAGTCCAACTGCAAAGTGGACAATGGGCCAGGCAGAGTACATCGGCAGGAACTGCTGGAAGCTAAAAGTTGAGTATATAACCTACACCCCAAGTGTTACTCGATGCTGAACCCTTTTCAGCTCAACCTGTCTGCACCCAGATGCAGGCAATAAAATCGTTTTGCTCTACATTGGCCTTGCATTTTGGATGTGATCTCCCGCCGGCTCAGACCTTTTAAAAACCAACAGCCCACATCATAGTCAATGGGCAAAAACCTTTAGCATTTCCCTTAAGAACAGGAACAAGACAGGGATGCCCAATTTCACCACTCTTATTTAACATATTACCAAAGTCTTAGCAACAGCAATTAGACATGAAGGAAAAATAAAAGGGATCCAAATTGGAAAGGAGAAAGTGAAACTGTCATTATTCGCAGATGACATGATATCATACACAGAAAACCCTAAAGACTCCATCAAAAATCTACTAGATTTAATAAATGAATTTGGCATGGTAGCAGGATACAAAATCAACTTCAAGAAATCGACAGCATTCTTATACACCAATAATGAACTCACAGAAAGAGAAACTAAAAAAATCCCATTTACCATTGCGGCAAAAAAATTAAGATATCTAGGAATAAACTTAATGAAAGAAGGACCTATTTGCAGAAAACTATAGGACATTGAAAAAAATTGAGGAAGATACAAAAAAGTAGAAGCATATACCTTGTTCATGGACTGGAAGAATGAACATCATTAAAATGTCCATACTACCCAAAGCAATCTATAGCTTCAATGCAATCCCCATTAAAATACCAACAACATATTTCACAGAACTAGAACAAACACTTCAAAAGTTTATATGGAACCAAAAAAGACCCTGAATAACTACAGCAATCCTCCAAAAGAACAAAGTAAGAGGAATCACAATACCGGATTATATACTACAAAGCCACTGTAATCAAAACAGCCTGGTACTGGCACAAGTACAGGCATATAGATCAATGGAACAAAACAGAGAACCCATAAATTGACCCAAGAGATTATGCACAATTAATATTTGACAGCAGTGGCAAGAACATACAATGGAGCAAAGACAGCCGCTTTTGGCTCAGCGGGTAGAGCATCGGCCCACGGATCGGAGAGTCCCGGGTTCAAATCCCACTAAGGGCATGTACCTTGGTTGCAGTTTGTCCCTGGCCCCGGTTGGGGTTGTGTGGGTAGCAACCAGTCAATGTGTCTCTCTCACAATGATGTTTCTCTCTCCCTCTTCCCCCCTCTTTCCCTCCCGCTCTATATGAAGATAAATGCAAAAAATGTCCCCAGGTGAGAATAAAAAAAAAAAAAAAAAAAAAAATGGGCAGAGTACCTAAATAGACACCTCTCCAAACAGGACACACAAATGGCCAAAAGACATGAAGAAATAGTCAACATCACTAATCATCAGAGACACAAATTAAAATGACTATGAGGTATCACCTCACACCTGCCACAATGGCTGCCATCAACAAATCGTCAAACAAGTGCTGGAGAGCATGCGGAGAAAAGGGGATTCTAATACACTGCTGGTGGGAATGCAGACTGGTACAGCCACTATGGAAATCAATATGGTGTTTCCTCAGAAAATTAAAAATTGGTCTGCCCTATGACCAACTGAGCTCACTTCTAGGAATATATCCTAAGAAGTCTGAAACACCAATCGGAAAGAATATATGTTCATAGCAGCACTATTTACAATTGCTAAGATCTGGAAACAGTCCAAGTGTCCAGCAATAGATGAGTGGATAAAAAAGCTGTGGTACATATACACAATGGAACACTATGCAGCAGTAAGAAAGATCTCTTTTCTTTTGAGGGACCTGGAGAGTAGGATGCTAAGCAAAATAAGCCAATCAGAGAAAGCCAAATACCACGTAATCTCACTTATCTGTGGAATATAATGAACAAAAAAAGCTGATGAACAAAACAGACCCAGAGACATAGAAAGGAATATGGTTCAGAATAATAAACTTCAAGGGGAGTGGGGGGATGAGATAAACCAAAGAACTTATATGCATGTATTCATAACCAATGGACATAAACAACAATGCTTAGGGGGTGGAGGGAAGAAATGAGGAGGAGGGTGTCTGGCTGGGGAGGGTGGAGGAGAAATACCTGTAACAGAAATAAGTTAATTAATGTTTAAAAAAAAGAAAAGAAAGTCAAATGTGAGTCATGACTATTTCTGTAGGGAAGAAAAAAAAAAGCTAAATGTTGTTCAGCCTTTTTTAAAGTGAAAAAAGAAGTGATACGAAAAATGTGTGCCACGGTGGCATGAAACACACACACAACTCTAAGATATAGTTGCTACCCCTTATCCAAGGAGGAGATACATTCCAAGATGCCCAGTGGATGCCTGGAAACACAGAGTGGCAAACTCTATATACACTATTTTTTTCCTATGCGTACATACCTATGACAAAGTTCAGAGTCTAAATTAGGAACAGCAAGAGATTAACAACAATAACAAATAATAAAACAGAGCAATAATTTTGAAAAAGTTAAGGGAGAAGACTGGCTGAAGATGGATTTGGAAATCACAGTTGGATGGTAGCTGAAGTCATGGGACAGAAAAGTAGGTGAAAGAAAGAGGTCCAAGGTACTTCCCATACTTAGCATTAATACATACTCGAGGCCCAGGACCAACACCAGCACCACCTTAATTCATCCAACAAATGTTTACTGAGCACGTACATTTTCCAAGTCCTGTGGTACCTCCTCTTCTACAACTCTCTCAAGCCTCAGTAATCGGAATTCATCTCACTGCTTCCACTTTTATTATAGCATTTATCATAGCCCGTCTTGTACTGTATGTAATGGTTTCTGTTTCTCCCTTTCTAGTCTCAGGACAGTGACTAAATCAAGTTTGTTTCCCAGATTCTATCTAGCACAGCACCCTCTGCACAGTAAGTCTTCCACTAGCGGTTTACAATAAAATTTTAATTAGGATTACCACCTGCAATTGACTATTGGTACAATATGAGTTTTAAAAGAGACATCATCACAGACTTTGTAAATAGGCAGTGCCCAAACTGGGCAAGAAAGAGAGGTCTGGGGAGATGCAATTCTAGTTGTGAGTTTGCTTTTGTCATCTGAGAGTTTTGTAATATTTACAGTGTTGGATGGTTTCCAAAGTCTTTTCGATTTGAAAAATTATATAAGTTGATTCAATCAACAAGGAGAAATTATTTAGATTTTCAACTACTTACATCAAACACTAGGTATCTCTGAATGAGACTCTAATACCCACTTTTCTCAACTAAATAAATATTCCCTTTGGAGTACAACACTGCAAGGGAAATAATCCCTGAAAATTGTAAGATCCAATGAAGAGTCAGATGCAAGGGTGGGCAATGAATTGCCCCCTCAACTTTATTTATAGACACAGGGTAGTCCAGTCATTTTGACAAAACAACAGTGCCTGGTAAGGAAAAAGAAAATATCTCATAAAACCTATGCTTTATAAATTCTATTTCAACTTCCAGCTGCTTCTAGAGAGTTTACTACTCCTACGCAGGTAAGAAAAAGCCCTGGACCTAAGAAACCAGGGCCTAGAAAATTTCACATTTAAGGAAAAAGAGAGCGAGCGAGCTGAAGTAACCAACAACTTTAATGAAAGTATCAAGATGCAACCGAAACGTTACTGCTTCACTACAGTACTGATCTGGTCTACAGACCTTAGATACTGTTCATCATCCCTTAAAGCCTTTTTTTCGTTTTAAGCTGCCGAAAACTCCGTGGCAGAAATAGAATTTTTTGAACGAAAATTCAGTTATTTTACTGTTCCTCCGAACTGGATTACCACTGTCAATTCCAAGTCGCAGAAATGAGCAAGAGAAATAACCAGAAGGTGCACTCTCAAAGCTCTCCTCCTTCGGGTCCTGGGAGGAGCCCCGGAAACAGGTGTGGTGGGGGCTCGGGGTGGGCGCCCACGAGCCCCCAGGACGAACTGCGGCCTCGGGTGGGCGGGGTGCGAGGCCCGAGGGCGGCCGCCCGGCGGCTCCGGGGAAGTGCCCCGCGGCAGACTCCCGGGCAGGGCCTGCTGTTTCCACGCACCTCGTAGCGGGTCCCACGCTTGTCCTTCAGGGTGGAGATAAGCAAGCAGGGGGGCTGCGGGCCGCCTCGCTCGGCCCCGGCCCCGGCCCCAGGCCGCGGCTGACTTTGGGGCGCCTGCTGACAGAGGCTCAGCACTGCGCGGACGCCCTTGCCCCGGTTCCTCAGCCCCAAGGCCGGCAAGTGCCGACTGACCACCTCGACCTCGCAGTGCAGCTTCATCTCTCCTGGGCGGCGGCAGGCAGCACCTCAGCTGGACTTTGAAAGTCCCCAGTTCCCGCCCGGCCGCGCCGCCGCCGGGGTCCTCGAACGCGCGGGCTGCCCGAGGATCTGCCTGTCTTCTCCTTGAGCCAGCATCTCGCGCTTTCTCAGCACGGTGGCTGTGAGTCCCGCCAGGGCAGCCCGCGTGCCCTCCCCGCGGGTCGAGTGCCCGCTGTGGCTGCGGACCGGCAGAGCGTGGACGCCGAAGCCTGAGGACCCAGCTAGCGGCTCCCGAGACCAGCGATTGGCGGACGCGCAGCGTCGTTTCCCCGGACCGCGTACAGCTTCCGGCGGCGGCGGCGGCGCTTCTTGTTCGCGGCGGAGTTGTCTTTTCCCCTGCAGATACCTAACCGGTGCTTTCGCGCTTTGGGCCGCGGAGTTTTCCGTGGGAAGGCAGGTGTCCGTCCCTGTGTTAAAGGGGAAATCTCTCTGCTTCCCTGGCTTTGGCACTTGGGACGTTACCCGTTGCCCACTGCCACTTAGGGTGCGGCATTTCCTCGCCCTATGGGGCTGACACTTTGGTTGTGCCGCCCCTCACCCCGGAGGCAACACCTGTCACATCAGAAGGAACTAATTATGACAGTAGTTAACTTTGCAACTTCTTTTCAACAAAGTCCCACTTTTTCAACCGTGAAGGGTTTGGATGGGGTGACTAGCTTAAATGCCCGAGAGACTTGGAAAGACGGACAGTCCAGACGCCAGGTACCGTTTGGATGCCTTATTCTGTCACAAAGGGATTGGGACCTGGCCAAGGCGAGTCTGCCCCAGCACCGCCTGGGACGTGTGGGTTCTTGACTTCTGCAAGAAAGCAAGACACAGTCCAGATGATTTCGAGAGTATGTTTGTTAAAGTTTGGTACGGTGAAACAAAGGAAGGGTTTAGGATTGAGGAAGCAATATCACAGTAACAGAAGTGAGTCTAGGCAGCCCAACCAATCTGCTCGTCTGCTCCTTGTGAGAAGTAAAAGGCAGAGTGACAGAACTGAGCCAAGGGAGGGCTGCTTTTGGCTCACTGAAAACTTAGGCCAGAGGAGAGCCCTTAGAAACTTATGAGGAAGAAAGTAAACATATAACCTGAGGAAAAGGAGGCCTGCGCGTGCTCAAGGGAGAGCACAAGCTGGGTCCTTTGTCTTGAGGGTTTTTGTCTGTTTTCTGTAGGCAGGAATTTTAAGGGGTTTGGGGGTCTCAATCAGAATATTCATCAGCTTTTTAGGTGTGGTTTTCAATATGCTGGCGCATCAAAATGAGCATATAGTGGTGTTTCAGATCGTTTTCTGATCAGCTTCATCTACATCTTGGATTTGCCTGGCTCTACTTGTTTTTGGTTTTTTAAATGTTTCTATTTTTTGATTTTAGAGAGGGAGGAGAGAGAGAGAGAGAGAGAGAGAAAGAAAACATCTCTTGGCTGCCTCTTGCACATCCCTTACTGGGGATTGAATCTGAAACCCAGACATGTGTCTTGCGTGGGACAACACTCAACCAACTGAGCCAGACTGGCTGGGCTTTTTTTATTTATTTATTCCCCTGACTTTGTCTGTTTTGGGGTTTGGTTGGCAAAAATGGCACTACTGGATTTTTGTTATCTATCTCCCTGACTAGGGTGATTTAAGCTACCCACTCTGGTTGGGGAAGAGAGATGTAAACCATCTACTTCTAAGTACCTCTGGTTAGGGAGGATAAGGTTTTGTGATTTATTAGCTGACTGTTCATTGCTCAGCTGATCATTTAACTATTTTGTCTCTGTTTTCTCATTCCACTTGCTAAGCTTCCTACTAACCTGCCTAAATTTCATATATTAAAGAAAGACCAGGCCCTGCCAGGTCAAGGGAGGCTCCTGAGGTGCCCATTTTAAGGAAATACTCATGCTCAGAGTCATAGTATTTACTCCTTAGATGTACACTCTAGGTGCCTCCCTCTCCACACCCTAGCCCTGGCCTCAAATATTACAGTTTGTTGGAGCTGTATTTTTGCAGATGTAAATGACATCCAGAAATACTGATTTTTCAATTCAACTATGACAATATAACTTATGTGGACCCTGAAAAAGATGATACCTACTAAGGGCTTCTGGTGGCTAACTTGGCTCAAACTTAAAACCACAGAGTCCAGCAGCCATTTCTACACAGGGGTCTCTTACACAAACCCCACTTCATGGAGAAGCTTGCACTAAGCTGCCTGCCTCCTACACTGAACTGCCTTCCTGCACTATGTTTCTGTGATCTGAGCTAGTTCTTATAAAGGAATTCTGGGAATTCTATTTCAACCAGTAGGACTGAGACTTTCCCTGCCCAATCTGAGTCCAATCCCTGCCCATCAGTATCTTCATCAACCAATTAGAGTGGCTCCATTTGACCAATCAGGACAGACTACCTTTGGGCCAATCAAGCTATTACGATTGGAGTCCAGATTTGCATGAGCATGGACCAATCAGAGAGGAGGGATAGCAACTTCTATCTATATAAACCAGCTCCCCTTTGATAGGAAGAGCACACACTTTCCCCTTTCAACTTTCCCTCCCCTCCCAGATGGTTGGAGCATTGGCCGGAAGACCAAAGAATCTCGGGTTTGATTTCAGTCAAGGGCACATGCCTTGGTTGCAGTTAGGTCCCTGGACCTGGCCCGGGTCATGTGGGAGGCAACCATTTGTATGTCTCTCTCACATTTGTGTTCCTTTCTCTCTTTCTTTCTCTCTCTCTCTCTCCCTCCCTTTCCCAGTCTATCTGAAGATAAGTGGAAAAATATCCTCAGGTGAGGATTCAAAATACAGCAACAACAACAAAAGACTATATTTCCCCTGCTGGAGCTGAAACACTAAGATCACCAGAGCAGAACTGTATCCTGAGAGGGACGAGGCCCCAGGGCTGCCTCATGCTAGGAGTTCACCTCAGGGATTCTCTCACAGCCCTGCTGTATCACAATTGAGCTCTTTGCACTAAATAAAGTTGCCTTTTCACCACACCTCAAATTGGGGATCCCTGATGGTGTTGAAGCCAAGGACTATCAGTTGACACTAGCTTGCACTGTGGACTGACTATATATGAAAATACACAAGGAATGTTATATTGCGCTACAGGTTTTGACAAAAGGAACCAAAGAGATATGTTTTCCTTCCGTGAAATTGGTTCCTATTCTTCCTGGCCTACACAATACTCTCATTCCCTTTTCTCTGGTTTGTTCATACTGACTAATCCTATTAAGTGTCCAAACCCAGTTCAGTTTCCACTAAGCTTTCTTTAACACCTTGATCTTTCTTTTTGGAGTGGAGAAGTCAATTACACTTAAAATTACCTTTCACTTATTTTATTTCCTTACATTTGTGGTGCATACCAGGCATTCAACAAATACTTAAATGACTCTGACTTTTCCCTTTATTTGTGCCCATAGGGAACTATACTCACTTAGGTTTGTGGCTTACTGGGGTTTAAGCTAGTAAAATCATAGTCACATCATATTCTCTCTCTCTTTTTTTTTTTATCCTCACCCGAGGACATTTTTCCATTTTTTGTTCAGATAGAGTGGGAGGGAGAGAGAGAAACATCGATGTGAAGGGACACATCGAGTGGCTGCCACCCGCATGGCCACTCAAGGCCAGGGACAAACTGCAACCGAGGTATGTGCCCTTAGCAGGAACTGAACCCGGGTCTCTCTGTACCACAGGTTGATGCTCCAACCGCTGAGCCAAACCAGCCAGGCTTACATCATATTCTTAAAGAGCAAGGTCATAATCAATGGACACAATCTATAGTTGACTTGTCTGCCCTAGCACATTGGGACCAGATATTGGAGTTGTTTTTTTAATGGTAAAATTAATCTAAAATAAAGCCAAAATAGTTAACAAATACATACCTAAGCATCAGACCTCTATAGTGCTGCCTTGTGCCTGTTGACACTCTGATCATGTTTTATAGGTTATGTTTCCACTGTGATTTTCTAATTAATTACCTGCCTTTTCATTCTTAGTACTGTCATGTCAGTTAAGAGCTGCATTACTTGCCTTAAGAACTATTCCTCAACTTACCAGGTCTTTTTACTTAAATGCATATATTCATTCATTTAATATTTATGGTGTTCTTGTTACTTGACAGCACCTATTCTAGATGTTTAGATGGCAAAGATGAGTTGACAGTGTTTGGGAGAGATAAGTAAATCAACAAACTACAATGGATAAATGTTAGATGAAGACATTAGAATAGTATAAGGTAGCCAGATGATGAAAACAATTTGTTTGCTAAACCTAGGTCTTTGAAAACCATGGAATGCAAAATTTTCAAGCAAGGGATAAAATTCAGACCTGTTTAGAAAAGGTTACTGTGGTCTGTAAAGAGATTACTTTGGAGGTGGACCAAGCCCCGAGGAAGTTATCAGGTAGCTAATGCAATAAACCACCATCTACACTGATGCCAACATAAATTTCTAAAGAGGTCTCCTTGGATAGAATCCTAAACTTGTGAAGCTGAAACATAGTTTACAGGTACTCTAATTCTCTCAATTTACACAAGGGGAATAGAGGCCGAAAAGAGTAAAGGGATTTGCCCATGACCTCATAGATGGTGTTAGAATAAATAGTGCTAGAACCCAAGTCTTATATTGCTGTACTTAATCCTTCCCAAAAATTTTCATGGATTTCCACTCTTTCCAATTTAATTAATTACAAATACTCAAAGGCCTGTTTCTTATTCCTTTGGAATCCAGATCCCCAGGGCAGCCTCTGGTTTTCAGTTCCTGCTAAGAGCAGCTTAGCACCTGCTCTTTAGGATTCCCTGGAGCTCAAGTCTGCATTTTATTTTAAAAAACTTTTTTTTCTTTATTGATTTTTAGAGAGAGAGGAAGGGAGAGGGAGAGAGAGACAGAAACATGGATGAGAGAGAACATTGATTGTTCACCTCCTGCATGCCCCCCACTGGGGATCTGGTCCACAACCTGGGCATATGCGTTGACCAGGAATCAAACCGATGACCTCTTGGTGCATGGGTCAAT